CGTTTTTATCCCTTGAAACCAGGACTCAATGTATTTTGTTCGTGGTTCTCTTCCCCTATACTTGTTTTTTTTTCTTTTTTTGATCTCTCTGCGTGCGCCTGATGCTTGTGCATTTCTTTCTTTTTCACTGTGTAAAGTGCTCTTGGGAGCTCATGCCTCTTTTGATGTGTGGGCGTGCGTGAGGATGGTTGGTGTGATGGGGCTTTGTGGGAGTGCACGGGGCAGGGACTGTCTGCTCTGTACTGTTGCGGTTGTGGGAGCCCTTCTGTTTGCGTCTCTGCTTACGATCTCTCTCACCTTCTCTCTTTTGCTGCAGGGTTAGGACACAAAAGGGTTTCGGAAGGTTTGCGGCTGCCCGCAGTGGTGCTGTGTATAGCAGGCGATGGGGCAACAGTGGCGGTGAGCGAGCACGGTGTACACAACGAGCCCCGCCTCGGAGAGTAGTGTCAAGGCATACAGGACTGGCATCCTGGCCGCGCTGTGGTCGCGCCAATACACGGTTGGCAGTGGTCTGAAGGTGGAGCTGATCGAGACGAAACCCGATTCAACAGAAACAGCGGTTCCTGAAGCGATTGAGCAGGCGATGACGAATAACTCTAAAATACTTGCTGTTATCGGCCCTGCAGACGACAGTACACTGCAATACGCCCTTCCTGCGTTGGAGAAGCAGCACTTGGTTGGACTGGGTCCCTACCCTGGGGCGTCTGAAGTGCGGTATTGGGAGTCGCATTGTTACTTTCTCCGCACAGACCCCATGTCTGCCCGGCCTATACGCTCACGTGTGGTACGCTACTGCGCACTTGCGTGTTCGTCGTCTGGGCTTCATGTATTTGTCTGATGTTTATTACAGGGATGGTAGTACGCTGCAGCCGTCAACTTGATGAGGGGCATTGGATGGGAGCTGTGTGGTGTGTTCACGCTGCCGGGAACGAGGGAGTGTGGGGCCCAGACGACCCGGAGTTCCAGGCGGAGTGGGAGAAGTGTTTTTTCGATCGCCGCCACTGTCGAAAAGAGTACTGAAGAGTCTGTTTTTGATGCAGAATGGGAGAGGTTTGCGGACACACGCCCACAAGCTGTGATTGTGTTTGGTGCACCTATTAAAGATACTGAGAAGTTTATCATGAGGATGCTGACAGACAAGCGTACTGCT